TGATACTGCCTCGGAAACCCAAGGAGGGGTCGCTATGAGTCGGGTCTGACTCGACAGCACATAACAACAACAACAACAACATGGAAAGACTGAAGCATAATATAATAGCTAGCTGTCAGGACTTTGGTCCACTATTTCTAAGTACTGTTCTAGTGATTTTAATATTTTATTTCAAGCCTGGTACAATACCACTTGAATCTCTTTAGTAAAGAAATGGGATATTGTAATGACTGAGAATTGTTTGCCTAATGGAGGCCCCCAAATCCTTGTTGTTGTTGTTATTGTTATGTGCCATCGAGTTGTATCCTTGTAACCTCTTAAATGACTTCTTAGAAAAACCCCTTTTCATTAAGTATATTTACTTATTTTGGTGTTATCAAATTTCTGTCATTCCAAAGTGTTTATAAAGTATGTATGGATTTAGCCTATTTTCAAACTATTTTTTGATGAGATAAAGGTGATAACACTTGCTTGTTTTCTGGAAATGAAGAAACTAACAAGTTTGCATTTCTAAGGCTTTGTGAATTTTTATTGAAAGCTCACAGTTACTTTTGTGACAGCAGCTTTTACTGTTCTTACATTGATTGCAGTATATTATTAAATGGTAAAGATTTTTTTAAACTTTTTTCTTTTCATCCTTTGTTTAGAGCATTACTGTAATTTTCTTTGTCATGCATTCTGCTCATTACTACTCTACTTCTGAACTCTGTAAGTTGAGGTCAGACAGTAAGAACCTAAAATGTGTGGTTTATTTCAGTAAAGTCACCAACGGTATAAGATCTGTTTTCTAGTCCACCTTTTGAGTTGGTTGTATGGATAATTACATATATTTTCTCCACTTAATAATCAGCTTTTATTTTTACTTCTTATCAATCCTTTAGGAAAAACATATCAGCAAGGAAGAAGAGAACTTAAGGAGGGTGGAAGAGGCCAGAATGCAGCTCAAGGACCAACTTCTTTGCCTGGAGACTGAACAGGAATCCATTTTTGGCATGATAGGAAAGGAAATTGATGCAGCGTGTAAAACCTTCTGGAGAGACTCAATGGAGAAATTGAAAGTAATTATGCATTTTTACTGTGCCTTATAATTTCAGCTAGGTTCCTAACATATGATTAAAATGGGATTTTAATGAATGGCTACATGGTAGTAACATCTTTTATTCCAGAAAGTTTTATGAAACAAAATAAAGAACTTTTTGCATTTCTAGAATGAAGCGCTGTATTTACTGCACAGTCACAGTGAGGGAAAGTGTCCTGTTACTCCACTGAATTGCCAGTGTTTTACTCTGTAAAAGAAGATGTCTTGCAAGAAAAGCAGCCGTTCTCACTAAGGAAAGCATCCTTGGAGTTAAGAGTCCTGGGTTTTGAATTGAACATTATCACAGACTATTTTTTATTGTTGTTATTGTAGTATCAACTAGCAATTACTGAGTACTGGCTTTATTTTGGGTACTCTGTTAAGTATCGTGTATACGTTTCTCCCTTAATCCCTAAAACAATCCTATCAGATGCTCTTATTCAATTTATTTTTTGGGAAAAGGAAACAGGCTTAAAGGAATTAAGTCGCTTGCTCTGGTCATGCTTCTAGTTAAATTAGAACCAGGACTCTCTTCCTTTAGGGTCTAACTCTGGAGCTTATGCAGTTACTTTGCTATCTTCTACCTTTTTTAAAATAAATTATGTTTGATTTAGTTTCTGAAGCTGAAAGAACTGAGGAAAAAAATTAAACCTTGAGTTGCAATGTTGAAAGAGTCTATGGACAAAATATTGAATAATGCAGGAAGCATCAAAAGAAGATGGAAGGAGTGCACAGACTCACTGTACCAAAAAGAATTGGTCAGTGTTCATCCATTTCAGGAGGTGGCATATGATCAAGAACCAATGGTATTCAAGGAAGAAGTTGAAGCTGCACTGAAAGAATTGACAAAAAACAAGAGTCCAGGAATTGACCAAATACCCATTGAGATGTTTCAACAAATGGATGCCACACTGCAGGCATTCAGCTGGTATTATTGACTATGCAAAAGCATTTCAGTGTGTGGGTCATAACAAATTATGAGTAACACTGAAAAGAGTAAGAATACCAAGAGATTTGGAAGACAGCTGCCTGACCAACTGATTGGAAGAGATGCATATTCATACTCATTCCAAGGAAAGGTGATCCCACAGAATGTGGAAATCATCAAACAATATCATTAATATCACATGCCAGTAAAATCTTACTAAAGGTAATTCAAAAAATGACTGCAGCAGTATATCGGCAGAAAGCTTCCAGAAATGCAAGCTGGATTCAGAAGAGGACGTGGAATGAGGGATACCATTGCTGATGTCAGATGGATCTTGGCTCAAAGCAAAGAATACCAGAAAGATATTTACTTGTGTTCTATTAACTGTGCAGAAACATTTCATTATGTGGATCATAACAAATTATGGATAACATTGAGAAGAAATTCCAAACACTTGATTGTGTTCATGAGGAACCTGTACATAGATCAGGAGGCTGTCATTTAGATAGAACAAGGGGATACTGCACGGTTGAAAATCAAGAAGGGAATGCATCAAGGTTGTATCCTTTCACCATACTTTTCAATCTGTATGCTGAGCAAATAAGCCAAGGAGTTGGATTATATGAAGGACATGACATCAGGATTGGAGGAAGACTCATTAACAACCTGCGATATGTAGATGACACAATTTTGTTTGCTGAAAGTGAGGATGACTTAAAGCACTTACTGATGAAGATTAAAGACTACAGTCTGCAGTATGGATCACACCTCGATATTAAGAAAACAAAAATCCTTAAAATTGTTCCAATAAAAATCTTCATGATGGATGGAGAAAAGACTGAAGTTGTCAAGAACTTCATATTACTTGGTTCTACAGTCAACACCAATGGAGGCATCAGTCAGGTCATCAGACAACATATAGCATTGGGAAAATCTGGTGCAAAAGACTTCTTTCAAGTAATCAAGAGCAAAGATGTCTCCCTGAAGACTAAGGTGCACCTAAACCAAGCAATGGTATTTCCAGTCGCTTCTTAGGCATGTGAGAGCTATAAGGAAGACCAAAGGAGAGTTGATGCTTTTGAGTTCTGGTGTTGGAGAAGAATGCTAAGAGTACCATGGACCTGCTAAAAGGACTAACAAATCTGTCATGGAAGAGATGCAGTCAAAATGCTCCTTGGAAGTGAGAATGTTGAGACTTCTTCTCAACTACTTTGGTCATGTTGTCAGAAGGAACCATTCCCTGGAGAAGGATATGATGCTTGGTAAAGTGGAGGGTCAGTGAAGAAGGAGAAGACCCTCAACCAGATGGGTGGACACAGTGGCTGCAACAATGGGCTTAGGGTAGTGGGGATCGTGGGGCTGGCACAGGACCGGGCAGTGTTTCATTCTGCTGTACCTAGCATTGCTATGAGTCGGAAACTACTCAACAGCACCTAGCAACAACAACATAATAACCAAAACCAACTCAAACTCACTGTCATCATGTTGATTCTGACTTATGGCAATGCACATTGGGTTTGTTTCCAAGGCTGTAAATCTTTACAGAAGCAGATGCCCAATCTTCCTTTCATAGAGTGGCTGGTGAGTTCAAACTACTGACTTTGTTAGCAGCTAAATGCCTTAACCACTACACCACCAGAGCAACTTAACCATGCTAATAAAGGAGCACTCAGATTGTAGTGTTAGCACACATGCATTTTTACTCTTTAGATGTTTCTTTTTAAAATTTGTAATTAATTTGTCTTCTTCCTCCTCTAGAATGATCGTCCTCTGTTACACTATTACCTTCCCTCCTTTTTCTTTCCTGCATTTCTTCTCATCTTTATCTCTTTATCAAAAGTAGTGTTTACAAGAAAATAAAGCTATGATTCCACTCTTAAAATTGAAGATATCTTAGGATTTGTGTTTGTTGGAAATATTTCAGTTGATGAATATGAATAGGTGGAATTTCTATAATATGTGTTTTTTTTACATACGTTTTTAAAAGTTCAGATGTCAGTTTGGGAGGCTGTGAGCCAAATCAGAGAAGTAGTTGATTTTAGTGGAATATCTAACTCTTTCAGGCTGGTTAGAAAGCAAAACAAAACACTCATTGCCGTCAAGTCAATTCTGACTCATAGTGACCCCTTCCTTGGGTTTCCAAGGCAGTATTCTACAGAAGTAGATTGTCCAGTCTTCCGTCCGAGGAGTGGCTGGTGGCCACCAGAGCTCCTTTCAGGCTGGTAGGGCCTATTACTGGCTTTTTATGTTTAATGCTACCTCTTGCATTTAAGATTGCCTTATTTATACTCAAGGGCTACATAGCCTTTAAAACTGTAATTTCATCCAAAAGATGTATGCCTTATCAACGTATTATTTATTCTGTATTCATGTATTTGTTTCAGGATGGTTTGTTTTTAACCAAGTAGTTATGTAAAAATAGAAGCATTTGGATCATGCTCTAAGATATGTATATATATATATATATGAAACTCTGGTAGCTAACCAAAAGGTAAGGTAGTGGTTCAAACTCACCAGCAACTCTGCACAAGAAAGATGAGACAGTCTGTTTCTATAAAGATTTACAGCCTTGGAAACCCTATGTGGGCATTTCTACTCATCCTATAGTGTTGTTAAGAGTCAGAATCGACTCAATGTCATCCCCCCTCCCAATAATATATATAAACCTGTTATAGGCAGTTCCAGGCTAAAACATGTATGTAGGTTGTGTTGTTGTTATTGTTGTTATGTGCCATCAAGTCGGACCTGACTCATAGCAACCCCTCCTTGGGTTTCTGAGGCACTGTCACTATGGAAGTAGATTGCCCAACCTTCCTTCTGAGGACATACTGTCACTTCACTGGGTGTCCTATGTATTTATTTATAGTATGAGAGGAGTAAACTGCATTAAGAGGAATGGCTGGTGGGTTTGAACCACCAGCCTTCTGGTTAGAAGTCATATGCCTTAGACACTATGCTACCAGAGCTCCTATGTGGGTTGTAGGTTGCTTAAATTTTTTATTTCTTTATGAGATGCAAGTTATCCTTCCAACATCTTCCAAAAGAAGCATACTGTTCTTTAATAGGCTTTGAGGTATGGAGTGATTGTGGTATTGTGTCTTTATATCCCTTCTCCTAGAGAAATACTAATATATTTTTTTTTCCCAAGAGGCTATAGCCTTTTGGTTTAGAGACTTAACCATTAGTAACTTCTGTTTTTTCATTCCCATAACCTTAAAAAGAAATGTAATATCCCAAAAATATTTCTCTCACTTCAAAGGAATCACCTAGAGATTTGTTAAAGACGTAACTGATGCTTTATAGTTCAGAGTGCTATGTGAAAGTGATGGAGGAATCATGTAGTATTTTCTCAAAAGAATCATTCCAATTATTTTACATAATTTTTTAATTTGTGCAATGTAGCTGATGAAATTTTCCACCATATTATGCAGAAAGCAATCACGTCAGGAATGGATTGGATGGTAGATATATAACAAATAACTTGGAGAAAAATCCTGGGGAATATTAATTTTGTTTGTAATAATATTTTTCTTTTTCCAGCCACCATATTTGTTACTTTTTCAGTTTAAGAAATGCAAGCATTATTTCAGAACCTCAGCGTGGACATCCTGTAATAAACACTACCTGAATTAAAGATTTATAATTCTTATGGACCAGTCTTTGATAACTCAAGAGCTCAAGTATATAGACTAGCTCTGTATCGTGTCTTATTTCAGTCTTTGTCTTCCCATAACCCTTGGCCTGAACAGTCATTCAATACTCAGTTGTAGATCATAAAGAGGATAGACTTTAGATTAAGACAGATCTGGTTCAAACTGCAGCTTTCCAAATGGCTCATGGAAGACCTTGCATAAATTATGTAATCTCTCTTAAGAATTTATTTACCGTTCACTTTGAATGTAAAGTGAAATATGGTATAGAAAATACACAGTATAACTAACTCACTGCCGCCGAGTTGGTCCTGACTCATAGCGACCCCTTCTTGGGTTTCCAAGGTAGTATCTCTGTGGAAGTAGATTGCCCAACCTTCCTTCCAAGGAGTGGCTGGCTGGTAGGTGTGAAATATGTTGTACTTAGTAATTATTCAAGTAATGTTATCTATCATTATTATGTAGAGCCCTTTTTGTAATACAGTTACACACACACACACATATGGCTTCTTTGTCTTTGTTTTTTTATGACAAGTGCCTGAGACAGTGCTCTGGACATAATAAGAGTATGAAACATCTCTTGATCATGGCATGGCATCTTGATATACTATTGGTAGTAATAATGGCAGTATTGAGTGCATTCTGTGTGCCAAACACTGTACTAATACAAACTTTATTTTATCTCTATTTTGGCCTTATGAGATAGTTGGTCTACTTTACGAACTGTGGTTTGTAGAAGTTAAGTTACACTGTTTAGAAGTGTGCAAAGGTATTCTCTTAAACACTAAACTATGTCTACATCTGTAAAACAAATCAGAAAACACTGAACATTATTTTCACTCCTTATCTTAAATTAGTTTAGACTTTAATATTAAGGACTATATACCAGCCACTCCTACGAAGGAAGGTTGGGCAATCCTACTTCCGTAGTGATACTGTCTCGGAAACCCAAGGAGGGGTCGCTATGAGTCGGGGCTGACTCGATGGCAAATAACAACAACAACAACAGCATATCTTAGGTCACTAAAGATTTGATTGTGTGGTCATAAGTAAATGAATAGTAATAATAAAGGTGTGTTATTTTCAATGGCAAATGGACATTTACAAACATTTAGCATGGTAGAGTCAGAAGAGGAAGAAAACATGGTAAACTAGGTCAGTTAAGGAAAATTTTGCTGAGAAGCCAGAGAATGGGAGTTGGTTGGGATTTAGAGAGAAAGGTGGATGATACTTCTATACAATGGTAGGTACTCAACATGCACTTCTCATATGTCTAAATGAATTGATATTCCTGATAGGGGAGTTTTGTGCACACACATTAGAAGGTATGGAAGTCTTTGAGAACTAAGAGTAGGTGTCTTTTGCCAAGAGGGAGAATATTTTTAAACACAAAATTTCTAGAAAGAGGGCCTGCAAAAATATCATATGGTATAAAGAAAGAAGGAATTGAGAAAAGTGTCTTTATGCTAATAAAGTCATTGAGAAACTTTCAAGGCAGTACAGTACTTAGTAAGGCAAAATTAAATAAGGCAAGGGTGTTAGAAACAAATTGGTGTGAAGAAAGTCAGGGCAGCTGGTAGAGACAGCTTACTGTCGGATTTTGTTATGATCTTGAAATACAAGGCAATGCTTCTATGAAGTCATGCTTTCTGTCAGTTTTGTTCAACCATTGATGAGACAAAATGGCTCGTATAGTTTAAAACTAAAGAAGGATATATGAGGCATAAGTGTTCATGTAATGCCATCTACTGTGCAATATATTCTGTGGAACAGACAGAAGAAAAGAAACTAAAATATAATAAACTTGCATTAATTGAGGCCATTTCCCATACAGTCTATGGATTTGGCCTCTGAGATTTCAGTAATGATTGCACTGGAGAGTTGGTTTTTCCTTGTTTCTGTGTTGTAGTTACATACATAGACATGATGTGTAAGTGCATAAAATGTGGTTTGGAATTGGTTGAGTACTTGTTATAAAGTTTGTTCCTTTTTAATCTTGAAATTCAGTTATTACATTTTTAGATTCTAGTAGTGAAGAATTTAATATATGTAAGTTCATTTTGGAGACAAATTGACTTCTAATAGACTTTCTTTATCTTTTGGTAGGTTTTCTCATCTGTTTCTGATATACATTTTGACCCACATCGCTGGTTAGCAGAAAGCAAGGTAATTAATTTTTGGATTCTAAAGTTACCATAATATTTATGACCTTCTGCCAATCCTATTTGATTTTGTTAAATATTTTGTCATATAACTGAGTATATGGAATAATTTCATTTTAGCGGTGATTTTGTTGTAGTGTATTTAAGAAGCCTATGTGTGTGTCTTCATTTTAAAATTTATAAATTAATTAAATATATAGGTGTGGAATTATAGAGTAAAGGAAGGGGAAACTATTAGAATAATTGGAGCTAGAGGCTAGAGGGTTTGAACCACTGACCTTTCTTTTGGTTAGCAGCCAAAAGCTTTAACTACTCTCCACCACCAGAACTCTTTTTTTTTTTGGTTTGTCAGAGAGACAAACTCTTCTGTCTTTAACTTGAGATAGGCAACTTCTTTGGAAATACATAAAGATCAAGGGTGCTGAACTAACCTGAATTTTACATATATACACATGAAGCCAAAAGCCAAACTCACTGCCACTGAGTCAATTTCAACTCATAGCAACCCCTATTGGATTTCCAAGGCTATAATTCTTGGAGTGACTGCCTCATCTTTGTTCAACTGAACAGCTGGTGAGTTCTAACCATTGACATTTTGGTTAGCAGCCAAATGCCTTAACCACTACATAGGTATTTCATATTGGTTCCTGAAGTTAAGTTCAAAGCCTGCCAACTCTATTGTTGTTGTTATGTGCCCTCGAGTAGGACTCAATTCACAGTGACCCCTCCTTGGTTTCCGAGGCAGTATCAGTATGGAAGTAGATTGCCCAACCTTCCTTCCGAGGACATGCTGTCACTTCATTGGGTATCCTATGTATTTATTTATAGTATGAAAGGAGAAAATAACTTGCCATTTCGTGGTTCTTTAGCATTATGATTTTAATTGATGGTGTGGTGGTTAAGTTTATATGTCAACTTGACTGGGCCTGGTTGAGTGGCTGGGCAGCTGGATGTAGTATTCCCCATGATGAGACTTATAATCAGTGTCATGGTGGAATTTACTGTGAGCGGCTGAGTAGCTGCCTTAGCGATGTGGTCTGCTTCCTCTATATAAGGAGAAGCCTTGGGGATTGGGCTCCAACTTATGGCATGTTTGAACCCTGCCTGTAGCCAAGGCGTTGTTCAGCAGTCTGCCATGCTCTGCCGATCCTGGGACTTTTCAACGGACTTGAATTAATGGCCTGCTGTGTGGTTTGGTAATATCAGGACTGAGTCTTTTCACTTGTCAACCTTGGGTTTGTCAGCCTCAGCAAGCAGCTGCCTGAGTGGAGAGATGCCTGTAGCTTCAGCAGGCTGGGAGTAAGAGGCACAGCTGAAGCCCAAGGTTGAGGGGCTTTCACCCAGCCCCTAGAGCCTGGCACTTGGAACATGGATTTAAAGACTCCAAACTAAGAGAATACACCCCTGTTTGTTAAGGCCATCCCACTTGTGGTATATTTCTTGCCAGAGCAACAATAGGTAACCAGAACAGAGTATGGTTACCAAGAGAGTGGGGTGTTGCTTTGACAGATACCTAAAATGTGGAAACAGGAGTGGAGTTCATCCCTGACCTGAGACCCAGGCAGAGAGACCCTGGCATACAGCATGAGAGACGGCAAGAGCAGAGCTGAGAGAACTGGGATGAGACGGCGACAGCCTTACCAATCCACGGAGGAGAAAGCTGGATGCCATTGCGCAGGTGGCTTCCTGGCAGAGTGGGTTCCCTTTGGGTATTAATTGGTAGAAGAGACTGGCAAGAGATGGAGTAGCAGGTTGGCTGACTCATGGAGCAAGAAAGCTAAAGGTCCTTTTGGCAGGAAAATTCCTGGCAGAGTGGGTTGCCCTTGGCCATTAACTGGCAGAAGTGGAGCAACCAAGGAAAACAGGAAGCAGAGCTGCCTCAGCCTCAAGGGAAGGACCGTGGCCTTTGGGGGTGGAACCACCACAGCCCCCTAGGTTTCAAAGAGCCAGACCTTCACCAACTTGGTTCTAGAGTGTGGGGCTGCTTGTTCGTGTGGGCCAGTGAGATGGAGCCATAGCCACTGCCCAAGAGAGTGGAGGCAGGGCTACCATGCCCAAGAGGGACAGGAATGGGGCCCGCCAGGCCAAAGAGGAAAGGTCGCCAGTCAGGAACTAGGGGACTGGAGTCATCCAGTGAAGGAGATCTGTATAGGTGCTAGTTGACAAAGGGTAAAATTTTGGTGGTTAAGTTTGTGTCAACTTGGCTGGGCCTGGTTGATTGGCTGGGCAGTTGGATATATTATTCCCCATGATAAGCAAATAATCCGAGAAGCTGGACTATATGAAGAAAAAC